TAAAATATTTGTGTAATGTGTTTTCTTCCGTTATTGAAAGCTCTGTTAAGATTACGCTTTGCGATAAATGTTACTGGCATGATCAATACAGAATTATTCCAGGCATGCTTTTTGCCATAATGGTTGCTATAATGGCATTCTCCCTATCCATTGAGAGACTCACTGGTACGTTTGTATCACGAATGGTTTTTGCCGGTAAAAGTAATTTGAAACGTGACAGGAAAAACAGTAACATTTTTAATTTTTCTTCACAAGTAAACATTGATTTTGTTTAGAACAATTTTCCCCCTTTGTTTGCAAAATTCAAAATTAGTTTAGCACCGATCTTGACTTATCTCTCCGTAGATTCCAGGCTTAAAAGTGAAGCAACAGAGATTATAGATCTAAGAAAAATTCTTTGATTAATATTTATAACAAGTTGAAGTGATTTCAAAAAATTATCGTCAAACTCTGTTTTTTAACGACAAAAAAAGTATTCCCCAACTTTGCAGACGCTCTTTGCTTTTAAACGCAAAAGTCAGTTTCTCAATTTTGTTTACACAATCCGTGAATAAGAGGTAATTAAAATAAAAGCAGGTGGGTGGTAAATCTCTTTTTGCACAAGTTAATCTTCGCCTGTGCGTCAAATCTGCACCAAGTCAGGTATTCAGCGTTGTAGGACGGGATATATCTTGGTATGTATCTACAGAAATAAGTCATGATAATGATAAAAGGGCTTGCATGGTTGGCTAGGGGCAGTATCAGGGGATTGACTCCGTTTTGCTAAAATCAGTTGTTACACTGACTAACGCACATTAAGGTCCTTAGTGATAAGAGAAAGAGTCCATCCATTTTTCACGAGGTGGTTGCAAACCATGTTCAATGTTTTGTGGCATTTTTTTTTTCAAAAGAAACGTAAAATAATATTACCAGGTTAATTATCACAGTTTGTGCCTCGGTACTGAACGAGGCCGAAACAAACCTTTGGTTAATATTACAGCAACCTGACAAAAACACTGATTTCCTTATCTTTAAAACCAAGCATGCCCATTTTAAAAAGTAATTCACATGTTGTTTAACATCATCATGAAAATGTAAACTCTATTTGGATTTGGATTTGCCAGGATTTTATGGTGGTTTTGTCATTGCTCTGGTTTTTAACTACTTACATCCCAAAAACAAGCAGATCCTTACAAAAACTGAAAGTAGCTCAATTTTTCCCTTTTTTACCGGTTTCTACAAGCAGCTACAAATCATTGTACTGCTGAGGCAGATTCTGAAAATTCTCTTTTACCGACATTGTACTATGCAGACTTGGTCTGACGGACCATCTTGCGCATAAAAGAGCGTTCTTTTCAAAGCGATAGGTTGTGCTGTGAGGATCCAGCTTTCGCACGATTACACATGAAAAACGAATTCAAGCCACAGATAACAACAGCTCAGTAAAGAGCTGACTACCTAAGTAAAGCAAAATATAATTAGAGCATGGTGAGGTGAATATTCTGCCCAAAGATAACAATAGCTCAGTTAAAGGGCACTGTCTTTGCCAAAAGCAGGTCACTGGGAAACGAAACATTTTATGGATCCTAAATGGGGATGGCCTAAGTCACCATTAGGCTAACATACTCGAATAACAAATACACAAATGCTGACATGACGCCTTAACAGAGGTCACGTGGTCCATGACTTCTGCCATAGAGCTTGGAGTAGTTGTGGAGATACCCCACGTTGAGAAAGCCGACTAATGTTTAACCCAGAAACCTTTGCACGCGACCGAACCGCCACCAGGGGTGGCAGACTGTTCTGCAAGAAAACACTCACTGCAGACAACACATTGCATAGCTGTAAGGCAGAAGGTTTTGGAAACTTTAGTCTCGCAGTTTCTTGTTGCCTTTCCCCCTTGTTTTTCATAAAGAACTGAAAAAGTTGAATACTCGTTAATTATAAGTTTATTTCCATAATCACCACAGAAAGAGCACATTCGCAACATTGATTCATTATGAGAATACAGGCGGCAGGGATGATCCTGTGTTTCCTTTTGGCTTCTATCGTTGTGTTTGGTAAGTGCATCGAAAGTTCGACCATTTCTGTCTAAAAGTGACCAATTCTAGTCTGAAATTTTTTCAAAAGATTTGTTTTGGAAAACAGCTGCAACAGACGTTTTTGCCTGGTTAGTTAGAAAACAATTTAATACTACATCTGTTAGCTCACTTTTCGTGCAAGGTTATTTTATTAAGAGTTATCCGAAAAGCAATTATAAGAACCTGTTAAATGGACGAGGGAAACTAACTGCATTTCTAACTTTGTTTCTGTTTATTTCACTTTTAGCTGAAAAGACTGACTTTTCAAATCAAGAATCAGGTGATAATAATAATATAGGTAACGTTTTTATTTCACCAGTAATTGGGCGCTGATCCTCAGCCCAATGGGGCATACTCGCTATAATGGCGCATATGGGGAGGATCCCCCATAAAAGGGTACTTTTTCAAGTCAAGCTTCAGGTATATGAAAGCCGGGTTGGAATTTCACCAGTTGAAGCTATTGACATGGTAGCAAATATGTCATTTTGGTCTATAAAAAGGACCAAAAGGTACTTTTTTATGGCTGTGAAAAAGTCAATAAAAAGTTCTGGTTTTGTAATTTATTCCCCTTTAAAAGACAGTGTATTTATTATAGCTGCAGTTACGAGAATCCAAAGTTCAAACCTAGGTATGTGAAAAGGGTACCCGAAGCAGGTCATTTTTCAATAGAAGGTTATACGAAAAGGGGTGCCTTTTTGTGACAAAAATTCTTTAAAAAAAGGGTAAGGGGTTGGACTTCCTCGGATAAAACTTTGTTGAGAACCCTACCGGGCTCCACCTCAATTATTGAAGCTCTTGTTATTTCAGTTCTAATAGTCTGTAATTTTGATCTGTTTTGCCTTTTTATCCTTTTCTATTTTCAGTGGAGAGGTCACCAATCCCTCTCTGGGGTAAACCCGATCAATCTCGTCTTTTATATCAGTTTTTATCTTAGAAATGCTACACCTAACTGAAGGTTTCTCTATTCAGCCCAGTTTATCTTACCTAACTCATCTTTAAATGCACTTAGATTATGCGCATTTTTTTACGAAAAAAAATACTTATTTATCCTTATCACTAGTACTATTATTAATAAGAATCTAATTGCTAGGCGCACTTTTACATAAAGGCACCGAAGCTTTCTGAGGCTTCACTTCAAATCACGAATTGGACATTTTCAATGGTCGCTTGCCTGTCTATATTAAGACGTTGATCGAAAATTTGCGCGACCCTTGAAATCTTGGGTGCAACTATTATTCCACTATTGCTTTTAAGCTAAGTTTACCCCAAATTCGGGTGAAAAGATGTTGTAGTTATTCGGTTTAATCTGGCAAAGGGACAAGTCAGAATCTTCCTTACATATAAAATGAGTTGATTTGGTCCATTTTATGTTGTGTCCTGTTGTGTGATGAACGCACTTGGTGAATGTTTTAGTCTAACCTTTTTTTTTTTCTCCTGCGTTCAGGAAGGAAACAAAATAGCCGTTCACTTTGGCCCTGGCAGAAACGTCAAAACCTTGACAGTCGTTCTCTCTGGCCCTGGCAGAAACGACAAAACCTTGACAGTCGTTCTCTCTGGCCCTGGCAGAAACGACAAAACCTTGACAGTCGTTCTCTCTGGCCCTGGCAGAAACGACAAAAACTCGATGAGCGTTCTTTTAAGACCATCGAGAGACTCTGAATTAAGGTCAGTCATGATCATGTCTAATAAAATTGCCATAGGGATTCAATTATTAAGAGACGAGTTATGTCTCATTGAATTGCTAAAAGCAGATGTGGCTACTATTAAAGAAAATCAAGAAGTAATGTAGAATTTCATAGTTTTTTTTAATGCTATTTTTGCAGGATCACCAGGCTTTAGCTCCAGGATAACAAGCCAGATTCAATATCACCATGCAGGCATATGTACTTGTAACTAGTTAAAAGAAAATAAACTGACTGAAAATTAAATATAGAGCTTCTGCATACTTCACTTTATCAACGTTCAAATTATCAAATTATTTTTCATCAAAAAAGGATGTCATCGTCTCTTCCTTTAACTCAAGTCGGGGTCAACCGAGCAAACAATAAAGAATGCAAAGGTGTAGACTTTGCACTAGTTTTGTCGAAATCGCAAGGGTAGCATTTGTCATCTATGCGCCCAAAACTTTGACTAAAAACACGCTTACGTAAAAGTTCCACTGATGAAGAGGTAGAAGACTCAACGTTGGAGAAATTTTATCCTAATTTTTGAGCGCAGCTGCAAATTACATGATTTTTTACTCTCACATTCATAAAGCAAACAATGACCCCACCAAAGTATAGTGAAGGGAGTATTTTTAACTTTATACTTACTTATTTATTTAACAGCTTTCTGTACACAGGCCTGCTCAGAGGGAATAGGCACGAACGGGACTCATAGGTCCCATGCAAGGTGCCATCCCTACCCAAACCCACAACCCGTAAAGGTTGGCCACACCACCGGGGTCTACACGTTCAACTCTTTTCGAACAGTAGTGTGGGCTCTTTTACGTCCCTCAAGAACAGATGAATGAAATTGTTGTGAGACGGGACCTACCGTTTTTCGTCCTTATCCGAGAAGATCAGAAAGTCTAACCGTTTGCAGATTTCATTACAAGGGCGGCACTTTCTTCCCAGTTATTTAAAGACCCCGAGTGTTGGTCCGATCGGGGTTTGAACCCGCGACCTCCCGCTCAGCAGACCGGCGCTCTACCAACTAAGCTCCCCGCCACTGGCGGCGGTTACCCTCCTCCTCGCGGCTGTTAATAAAGGTAAAAAGATAAGATATCCACCATCTAAAATTTCTGCTAAGACATCCAAATGCAACAAACAACATTTTCTTGTTTTTGAGAGATATATTTTACTGCAGAGAGTGTTACAATAAAACCTTGCCCGTCCTTGTGCTACTTTGGACGCCATATCTTGTAACCATAGTCACAAACTACACAATAATTTTAGAAAGACGCATTTGAAGAACAATTGTCTGTAAAGTATAAATATACTGCGTTCGACATACACAACTAAAAAAGGATTTTAAAAAGGGTTTTGTAGATCTAATAGTGGCTATTATCTACTATTTTTTTCTTCCACAGAATTTTTTACGTTACATTACAACGTTTGCTGTTTCTTTGTCGAATTCATTGCCTCTTGGTCGGCCGATAATACAGGGCACATATCTTCATCCGCTCTGTAAAAGGGAAAATAACAATTTATTAACTCGAAATAATACAGAAAAAGCAATCATCTTATGAGTTTATATACCCGGAAATATTTATTGCTGTGTAAATGACAGTTTTACTATGTCAGTTGCATGGGCGTGTATAGAAGAATCCCTTTGATAGAGTTTGGTTGGGGTAAAAGGCCACCAGATTTATGAAATAATTAAAAACGCAAATTTTCAATATCCGATATCCAGTAAGAGCATCAGTTCTAGTGCCCAAGTAACTGCAGTGATACCCATTCAGATGAGTTAGCTGGAATAATTACGTTTGAAAAGCTTATTATTTGATAAACAGTTGGTAACTTCGAGTTTAACAAACCTGACTGGATGTTCACCGCAATCGCAGTCGGGCTACGAGAGCGTCGATTCCTAAGGAAGGAACGCAGTGGTTCTCCTCACAGAAGCAGCCGTATTCGGGGGGTCCCGCGGACACATTTACAGGCTTACTCTCCCATCCTGGTCTACAAATGTAGTCAGTGTACTGCTGGCACAGGCGTTCGCAGAAAAACTGGCCTTCATAATTCTCGTACACGTGACAGGTGCACAGATATTCGCATTTTCGAGAGGTTGTTGGGATCATGACCTCGCCTTCTTCATAAAGACGGTCAAAGTACTTGCACCCATCTAAAGGCAAATTCAGTGTCAATATTCAGAAATGTGTAACGAGGTCCACCTACTCAGTTTCCCCTTGTGTCACCTAAAAGGCATGCAATATATACGTTATTGACCAAGCAGGAGGTCAGCATGGCTGGATATTGCCAATTTATTTGACGCAGACGAAGCCGAGGTCAATAAAAACGTAAAAAAAAAAAGAACTAGGCCAATTTTCAGCCATCTTGACCGAACAAGCCTGAGTCAATTAAGGATTTATTATCTGACCAAAAAGAGAAGTTTTCTTGCGGGAACAATAAGGGAAATCTCAAGCGGGCAAGATGGGCACATCAATCAGAACACAGGAATCTTCATCTTAAAGGGGTGTTTACATGACACCGGAGCGACTTTGGCGCCGGCACGAGTCCACTCCGGTTCCCTCTCATGGCTCTACATTTGTTTACATGATAACCCGGCGTGAGTTCACCCAGGTTGTTGTACTGGGGCGAGAATTTCACTCAGGCACGAAATCTCGCAACGGTATCATGTAAACAGGAAACGACCACACGTTTCGGTGTGAAATCGGTCTGCTAGTAGACTGCAACGGGTAGCGCATGCGTTATGTTGAATCTCACGTTTGTTTCATCAACATGAAGTGTACCTTCAAATAACGAGGTATGAAATGACCCAGTCATCATGTAAACAACATGTAATCGCGATACGAAATAAAAAAGTCATACTGGTATGAAACTCGCGCCGGTGCTAGTTTTCTCATAACAACACCCCCTTACCCGATATTCAGTCATTTTCGGCGAACGAGCTTGACCAATAAGCCATTTATTTTTTGGCGATTAACTAAATCGGTTCTTTATGGACCAAGCGGGTGATCCCGAACAGGCAAGATAAACCCATCTTGCCCTTTCGGCGGATCTCGGGTAGCCAATCAGAACACATGGGGTTTGCCTTAACTTGCAACTAAAACGAGCCAATCAAAAGAAAACCTTTTTTCACTGCGCTTCCCCAGAGTGACTATTATGTCTATTATTTACACTTCATGTCCAGCAGGTCTTAGATCAAATTTTCAGTGCAGAAATTTGTGCTTATCATGCTCATCAGATTTGTGATGTCTTGTATACAGGTCTCAGTACACACACACCCCATAAACTTCCTTAAGGTTTCCGCGACACCTGAGAAACAAGTGTTGTGATCGGGCATTTTTTTTGGGAGGGGGGGGAGACGTAAAAGTTGAATTGGGGGAAGGGGCCGAGAAATTTTCAGTTGTTGATTATGCACTATTGAATAAAGACTATATGGTAAAGAAAGACATAGCTTGATAGGCTCCTGTCGCAGATTACCCTTATCTCTATCCAGATACCATTTCGTTCAATGATATTTCCGGAAAAGACTGTTTAAAATAAAAAGGCACACGTATAGCACGTGAAAAATGCTATTTAAGTATAATAAATGGGTCATCATCCTGGAAATAATTAAAGTATTTAGCTGTTTGGAGCTAGCCAAGTCTTTCCTTGATAATATGGAACAAACCATTACTCACAGTGCCTATCGAAAAATATCGGGAAAAAAAGAAAAAATATAGAAAAACTATAGAATGGTCACATACTTCAGTGTTCAGTTTTTTTAAAAAAAGAAAAACACATGAGAAACACTACTCCTTTAAAACTATGGAATGACATACTGATATTCGTTTCATTCATGGGCGGTTGACTTTGTGTTTCTCTGATAAGAAAAACTGGTAAATTAAACGCCTAACTTTTAACAGATAAGGTACCATTATACATGATTTCATTCGCCATAAGGCATTAACGTTTGTGTATGTCAAGATCGAAACAAATCATCACGTCCACCTAGATTCCGATAAGTGCTGAATATAGTTAAACACCAAAGCAGATGTTAAACTTTGTATTAACAACATAAAGCAGTTTAACAACGCGGCATCATGAAAGGAAAATAAATTCTTTCACTAGAAAAGGAAAAACATTTGCTCCTAGAAATCTGTTTTATAATGTAGGTTATTTTTTGTTAGGATGCGAATATTACACAAAACTGGATACATCTTACCCGAGCGCTCATCCAAAGTTCTCGCCATGTTGATTTCATCGAACCTGGGATAAACGAATTTTGCCTCAGCCTTGTAACAAACGAGACCTATTAGAAGGAACTTGAGGAAAGTCATAGCCGCTTTTTCTAAAACGCTACGGAATGGCTTGTAAACAACTTGAATCTGACTGATTAGCGTTTTGTAGTTTCTGTTAATGAAGTCAGTTCCTCAACGTTACGAAGGAGTTCTTGTGACTTACATAAGCTAAGACTATTTATACAGTGGCGCACATCTCCAGCTACGTCAGATAGGGTCATTAACTCAGAAATCACAGAACCCGACTCAGTATATGTTAGTAGTTTTGGACAGGAAAAATGTTTTAACGTTGAGACATGAAATAATGTTTTATTGGCCACTGTTAGGCTTGGTTTTTTGGTGGCCGTTAATTTATAATTCCTTATTTAATTCCCTGCATTTCCTTACTAGTTCTTGCGAAAACTTTACAAATATATTTTATTTGGACCAGAAAAATGTGTGGAGTCTAAGGAACGAGGGCGTTGGATGATTATCAGCCAGTTTAATCAAGGGAGTGGTCTTTTGCAATTTGGGTCTCTTTAAAAGATGCCATACGACAATGACGATATCACAATCCGCCAAAAAACTATGGGTCACCTTGAAACAAAAATCAAACCCCGAAAGATGAGAAATTCTCGTTGACCGGGTGCCCCAAAATGTTGTTGAATATTGAGACATGTGACTGGCGATAACGCCAAATAAACTCAGACGGTTTTGGGAGAAACTGGTTTTGAACACAGACATGCTCGTTGTGATGAGTTATAGGAGTTAATGCAGGAAATACTTCTCCTGATTATGAAAATATTACGTTTGTTGGCTTTGGCAAGCAGTACCTCATAGGAAGTTTTTAAGACATCATTTTTAAAGCACGTGACCCACTATTTTCACTGTTACTGACTCTGCTGCGTGGATGCTATGGCAACAGTATCAATCAAAGCTGGCATAATTAAGTCCTTTCACCACATGATCGTTGTCCATGTTACATTCAGAATTTTTATGTAAGGACAACTGACAAAAATCTTTATATACAGTTTGAGTATAAAAACGGTTTCGTATTGTATTTAGTAACAATCAATGTCTGACTTAGAGCTTTAATATATGTTCCCTTATCATTTACCAGCCCATAAAATGCTTACTTCCTTTCTTTTGTACAAGAGGAGGAGGAGACACTTTCAGGTCATTTTGTCGTGGGATAGATATTAATCTCTCTTTCGCCATCTTTATTTTTCCTGAATATTCTCTCAGGTTTGCCAAACCTGTATTAAAAGGTCAACTTGTATTAAGCAGTCAGTACGCCATTCCCCAGGGTGACCACTTAAAACAGGTTTGATTGTGGACGGAAAATTTCGACCTGCCCTTCCGTCCTCTCCCGCTTCTTCCAAATCAAGGGTGGGAGGGTGGGAAAATAAATATAAAAGCGTTTTGCTTTCGCATGGCTGCATTCTTGATTTTGGGGGAAGATAGTTTTGCCATTCCATGTCATTCTTTCCAAGAATGCCGCAAGTCCGAAATTGGGCCCTAAAAGCATCATCTGCCTCCTTTGAACATTTTTGCCAAAAGAGCATTGCGGTATTTTTAAGATTCAAATATTTTGAGTATTAGTAGGGCGCCAAACTCTCGAGTCCATGGTAAAGATGTTAAAACTACGACCTGGATGAAAATGAAACATTTTACTTTCCTGGCCGATTGTTTGCTTGTAATCTTGTGTGATTTGTTAATTTTAGTCAGTCTGTTGATAAAAGTGAAAAGTCACCGAGTTAAATTGATTGAAACTGCGACCGATCAGTACATGTACCAAACGTAGAGTGCTGGAGATTTCAAATGAAAGAAATTCATGATCAGCGTAAATATGTAGTATGTTTATCTCATAAGCAAGATTTATCAAAAATGGTCCTGAGATTTGCATTGTTGCGGTAAGTGAAGACGAAAATGTCAAATAAAATTTTATCAAATCATAAAAGGGAAATTCGCATTTTTGTAAAATTATACGTACTTGAACGGTTCACCAAAGTTAGCAAAAGATCAAGAAAAATCCATCGGCTCAGTTAACGATATTATATGTACATACATTAAGAAAATTATTAGCCTCTGTTAAAGATATCTGAAATTTTTTCTTAATTATCAAACAAGAGAATGTTTTATATAGTATATATAGCCCAACACTTTTCTCCTGTCTTTAGGATATAATCCTTTAAAACTTACAAGGACCAAACTTCACAGAGACGAACAAATCATTAAAGCTAGGGTTATGATTTTTGGGGGGCTTTTTTATTGTTTGATGTCAAAGTTCCGTACATCTGATGTTTCAATGTTTTTCGTATGCTCACCTATTTATTATAAAAAACAATATAACTTGCTTTTCAAAAGATCTTAATTATCCGGCTAATAATATAATCCTAAAGGAGCAAGGGATTAGTCAAAGAGGATTCTCTTTCCTTTTTAGCAACAAAAATCATTAACCACACAGTCGCCGCGATTAATTAATCAAATCACATTAACATTAGAATAAACTAGTCACATTTGCACGAGAAATAACTCTGATATAGCACGCCGCTTAATTTTTTTTGTTGTGAGGATATAAATAAGTAAAAAAGAATAGAAAATATAATGACGTCACTCGGAGTAAAAGTTAGAATAGATTTTTTGAATGAATACCGTAAGCTAACTTTTCTTTAAACGCCGAAGGGCATCACAAGAAAATAAACCAAAAAGTAAACGAATATCCTCAAATTCCGGTGAAAGATGATTTATTTAGCTGCTCTAAAATGGATGTGAAAGAGTTAATTAATAACTTTGGCTTCACGCTGAGGTCTATTCCATAAGCTTCTTCTATTGTTTCGCTTAATTTGTGTCCGGTGATTCTTTATTCATTATCAACTCGATCAGACAATATTTCTCAGCGGAAAATGACGCCTGATTATTTTTGAAAATATTATTTTCGGTAGTGGGTTCTTTTATCAATCATTGTCTAAAAACAAAAACAAAATCAGCCTTTTTACGAGCAAACTTGTTGTTTAAGTCAAAAACTGGCGTCTCTATCTACTTACGTTCATTTTAAACTTAGCTCAACTGTTCGAGGATATATTCCGTCCGTAAGTAAAACAACCTTTATATTTTATAAATTTAATGAAGGTTCTAGCGTTATTTGATATTTACTTATGTTTTTTTGGCACATTCATGCTAGCTCTTTTTCTTTTGTTCGTGTCATTGAAATAACCTGACCATTAAGAAAGTTGGTCAAAAGCCCTAAAGCTGTTAGAGTTAAATGACTGAGAATTGTACTCTTTTAACTTTTTTTATTGCCACATTTCCGTAGCGTTTTAAAAGCTCTTATCAGTTGCTAATTTGACGCGCAAGTAGCCGCCCCTGAAAAACACTGTCAACAATGTTTGTCAGCGATTAACGAAAAATCTTGGTATTCGTTAGTGTAAGTTTTTTGATGTTAATTTATTACATACAGGATCTAGAAAGTGATATCTTTGTCCTTTATTTTTAGATTTTCCTGAGCTTTCTGAAAGGATTAAATTCTGTCACCATTTTGTAGATCGGGTAAGTTCAATCTTGTCTTTCTTTATAAAGAAATATAAGTAACCCTAACCCTAACTGTTCATGTTCTCTCTGAATGTTGTAGAATATTTAGCTTAAGCTAATTGTACCCTCAGAAGAATTTTCTCAGGATTTTATCATGTCACTAAAAATGACGGAAAATGTTTGACGCATCCTTTGATCTTGACGCAGCACTGTATGAAAAAATTGGCGAGAGAAAATTTCAGTGCTCAGTAAAACAAGAAGGACCAGCTTAAATTTCGAATGCGATTCAGTTTACATGACAAAAGTGTATAAAAAGTGTCAAACCACTAAACAGAGCTGTATCAGATATCAAGTAAGATCAAGAGATCGCTCCGCTTTTTTAAGTTTTTCTACTGTCGTCCTCATTCAGACTGACGTTTTAGAAAAAGCTGAACAAGAATTCTAAATCATTAAATGTGTATCGATGGAGGGCTGGACTCGCGGGCGTTTCCAAAAAATTTGGGGGATAAAAATATTAAGTAATTCATAAATGTGAATGTCTTCAAAGTCGTTTTTATTATAAACAAGTGACTAGGTAGAATTTTGCTGTGCGCCCTTTCGCTATTTCAAGATTACATTGCTGGCTTTTTAAAATACGCTTCAGGGTGTGAAAATGAAAACGAGAACTCATCTTAACAAAATGAATAGCTAGAAAATGAAGCCTAATTTGCAACCCGACGCTAATATATGCTTGGAGGCTTGGAGGTTTGAAGCTATTTAAATGCTGATGAAACTATATAAGATCGTTTCACGGCCGAAACCATTGATGTAGGCGCGAGACGCTAAGGTTCGCAAAATATCTTTTTGTCAAACGTGTTCATGGTCTGCAGGGATGTACGTTTTCTTGGTACTATATATTCCTTTCTTTAAGAGGTGTCTGAGAATACAAAAAAAAAAACAAATATAACCGTATTAGTTCTTTTTTGCGCCCATAACGAAAAATTGCTGTCCTGTTTACTGTAAAGGCCTGTTTACATAGAGTGGGGGACCCTGGTCTAGTGGGGTTGGTTTCTTTTATTTCAACGCTCTGGGGGACACAAAACAAAAGAAACCTACCCCACTAGACACGGGTCCCCCACTCCATGTAAACAGGGTCTAAGTTAGTTAATTAGCTGTGTGGAACGCAATGCCCGGACTGCAGTCACCTCGAATTGCATTTTGTTGTTTGAATTTGGGGTATACTACTTTTGTTTAAGAAAATTTAAGACTTACTTTAACTTCTAAAAGAATTTTAATGAACTGAATTGGTCTAAGGAATATTCTGATTGGTAGTGTTGTGATTAAAGAACAGTTAATCAGAAAAATGGAACTAACAACTGAAGACTGTTCTTAACTTGCCAGTACACAGAACTAAACACTGAGCAATCCGTCATGATCTCAGCTTACTTCTTATTGGCTGCCACAGTCTACACAGTGACGTCAGCAGCTAGTATCTCATCCAACGATGGTAAGAATAAACATGGTTATTGCCTGACCTTACCTCTAATGATAATACGAGAGACTTCTCCTATTAAAAACGTTCAAAGGTCGACAATCAGCCACATGAGAATACAAATTGTCGACAGGTCTCGAGGTAAAATTTAACTTCATCTTTAAAATATTTTTAAGTTAAGTAAATTGTTTTGTTTTTATTCAAAACCCGGATCGATACTCAGTCAGTCTGATTACAGAATTTGTGATGGTACTGATGCTACAGCCGCATTTCCTTGCGACCAGCTCTATTTGAACTGAGAGTAAAAGCTTTCTTGAGGGAAGGATTAGAATCAGTGACATCTGTGATGATGATAACGGTGGAGTGCTCCTCAAACTTACACTGGGTTATCGAGCCAACTGGGAGCTGATCACGTAGTCAGTTTGTTATTTTACATTTAAACAACAATACCACAGCAACAACAGCCGTTAGAGGATGAACATATGAAAGTCAGTCTATGAAAGTAAATATTATTAATGTTGAAAAATTTCATCCAAAGGCAGTAGTTCGGCTATTTCCGAGTTTTCGCACGGTGTATGAAATCTTCCGCCATTTTCTCCAGCTGCGCTGCTTGCACTAACAGAACAGCCAAGCCATCGCACGGAGCATCTGCCTTTTTTGCCAATATCAATGAGATTGACGTTAATCGAACTAATATGGCCAGGCTAAGTGCAAAACTTTTCAGTGTTGTGAAAATTAGTTTTGCTTGCATGAGAATAAAAAATAGTTTTCATATCAATGGCTTTGCGCTTAGCCATACCAATCAGAAACGAAGAAATATCTTGAATGAAAAATTGAAAAATAAAGATGAAAATCTCTAGTGTAGAATAACTTACTATAAACTAATGAAATATTTTAATCTCCATTCCACGTTATTTTCTTTTCATTATTAACCAGCGTTTTGTTTGCACGAGGGTGCAAAATTCTACCCGGGTGAGAAGGTGGTCCTTCAGGAATGCCAATATACGTGTCAATGTGCAGCAAGTGAAGAGTATTCATTCTTCATGTGCGAACCGCTGTGTACAAGGCCTTATGATTTCATGTGCGCTAATGGTGCAGATCCCGTAGAAAAGATGGAGGAAAGTTCCGTGCCGGGTTGCAAGTGCCCTAAATATTACTGCCCCGAGACACTCTCCATGGCACATCTTATAGAGTATGTACTTCCGTTTAAAAAATATTTTCTCTCGCTATAGCTCTGGCCCTGAGGAAGGCTAATTGTGTTAGCTGAAATATTGGCCTATAGTAAATCAGCCCTTTGCCGCAGCACGAGCCTTGCGTTCAGTTTTGTTTCTCTCCGCCTAAACTCTTTGCATTTATAAGATGCATTTTTTATTTAAATGGGGCGCCTCAGGTGGATTATTTTAATAGAATTTCAAATAAAAAAAAGTTAAATTTCAAATTTGATAATATTGAAATCTCCATGACAAAAAATTGGAAAAACTGAAAAAATAAAGTTTTAGAGATTCAAAAGAGTACTGAACTCGACAGTCTTGTTTATTAAGATTACCGTGAATGATCGATTAAGCGCCGCTACTCGAATAAGCGCCGCGGTGCTAGTTTGGGTATTTACAAATTAATGCCCCACCTTTGTCAGGGCGGTTGATATAAAGAGATATCATGATCAAAACCATATCGCTTGAGAAATAAGACCTCGACCAACTCGTGAGTGCTAAAGGTTTAATATGGGGAAACTCTTGAAACCGGGTTCATACTAACCGTTCGAGGTGTAAATATTTTATATTTAATTGTGCATACCTAGTACGCGCCTTACTTAATTCTCTCTATATTCCCCTCAGTGCTTTACTCGTAGTTGAAATAAGCGCCGCGCTCTTTAAAGCGCCCACCTATAACAGGGAAAATGAGATAAGCGCCGCTGCGCTTAATCGATAATTTACATCAATTTTTTTTACAATACTCTAGAAATAAGCTAACCTGAGCAAAAGCCGGTTAGTGTCCTGAGCTCTCTCCGTTGCGTATCAGTGAGGTTTTTATTTCAACTTTATGCCTTCTTTTGGCTTCGTTTTACTGTCCTTTCTAACTTCATATTTCTCTTGGATTTACAATACACCGGTATAGACTCACTTAGTTTGTTTAGCATTCTTCTTGATAAAGATATTGCAAGCATGTGCATGTTTTAAAAATAATACACTCGTCTCCTAAAAGCCATTTTCTATCCGACTCCCATTGTGTAGTTACGGAAAATATCCATACCCCCCACGGAGGGCAACGGAAATTCCGAGGGGATTGGGAGGGGGGGGGAGGTTCCAAAAGGAGGCAATTTCTGAGGGAGTGGGGGCTTTCTTACAGAGGTTTTTTCCATGGGGGTCTGAGTAAGATTGGTGAATTATTTAGCAACTAATAAATGAGGCTGAGTAGGATATGAAGAATTAAGCAGATCGGCCTTCGGCCTCCGTAGATAACACCCTCCGAGACCTGTTTAATTCTTCATATCCTAAGAAAGCTGAATTCATTAATTTCTTTATTATTTCATTCAAAATAATTCCTAGTTTAAAAACATACAAATATTATTTCCAGAGAGCACCCAACCAAGTTGAATAAGTACGGAAATTAGAGGGGGTAGGGAGGTATAACAAGCACCCCCTGGAATGGAAATTCCAGGGGGGTCGGGGGGGGCTAATGCAAAAGTGCTCTCCGTGGGGGGTGTAAGGAATATTTTCTGGAACTACACTTTGCTAACATATATAAATTTTTTCAGTTTTTCAGAAAAAGGCAGCTATTGTGTTTAAACGAAAACAAAATAACCTTTAAAGAGAAATTTACAACAATCGATATAAAAAAAAATTGGAAACCATCCTTACACTTATTACACTTGAGCACCCTAAGTTTTCACAGAGGAGAGAGAAAAAAGAAAAGAAATGAAAGGGAAGGAGAAGAAAAAAGGTTCTAACTACAATAAAAGCCCGTAGGCTGCTACTCATAATCAACATGATTGGCCACAATTTTTAATGCGATAATGCTCAAATAGGTTACACAAAAATTCATCTCAATTTGGTTTCTTTAAGATGTTTTTATAAGTATGTTGCTATTTGCCTAATACCAATAGGCGACTATTTAAGTCAAATGTTGGTCATCAATTTTGTGTTTTAACGAATTATTTTTTACGTTTTGCTGTAGTCATGGAATTGTTGACGGGTATTTTGAGCCAGATTTAAATGTGGAGGCAGATGATTTGAGCATGGATGACGCTCAATATATAGAGTGAATCTTTGGGAATGGCTCAGTAACACTTAAAAAATTAGGTTGGTGAAAACATACTATATATGTAACTAAGCTATTTTTTCCTTAATGATGTTGCTGATGATGATTATTATGATGATAATATCATTATAATTGATGATAATAATATAATGATTATAATCAATTTCAGCGCATCTTCATTAGCACTATAGCTATCACTTTACAGATTTGACACCTCATCTCAATTTTTTTATACCGCACTGTATAAAATGTAATCTGGGGGAAATGAATAGTTATTAAAATTGTAAGTTTATACGAAAACCATTGGACAAGGCAGAGTTGAATGTCCTTATTATCAGATTTTTCGTGAGGTAAAGAAATGGACCTTGGGCCGACTACATATCCCTCTCCATTACAAGAAGTGTTCGTGAGGAGTTTTTATAGCTAGTAACATAACGTGTTTATTCGTTTTCATAGAAAATCAGTTAACCCAAGCTTAATGGTGAGGAAGATCCATTTTTTCCAACCAGTTGCAAAGTAAAATGTTCATTTTTATCAGATAAAGAACGTCATAAGCTAACGATTTCTTTGACATGTCCATCTTATAAACAATATTAGCCTATGTTAAGATATCCGTGAATATCCGCAAAACTTACTAGGCCTATTATCTTTCTGCTCATTTTGACAACCTAAAAAGTAATCTACGCGTTCTTATGAACTGTAGTTCCCGTTGCCATTCATAAGGCTAAACATGTTTGCTTCTTTGTAACTTCTTGCAGAGTACTGGAACCTGTCCGAAGGCATTCAAATCAGTGGCGGGAGTAATTTCCCATGTTACACCATACTTCATTGACCATCATTTTATTGCTGTTACAGTATATTATCAATAAACCGTTAACATTAAATAACCTAAACAGCTCTTATTTGCTCCTAATATTGGCTAAAAAAATATAACTTTATTTTCTATATCCCCCAACTCAATCGCGTTTTCCAATGCAACGAAACGGTGTCACATGCCATGCGACAGAACTCACTAACGCGAACCAAACTCCCTAATTTCCTGTAGAACTTTAGACTGGGTGGGGAGCCGTGTACCTTCAACTGTGGGCCAATTTACCATTGTCAGTGAGGCCATGCAATTGAACAAATATTTTCAAACAAGGCTAAGGGACGAAGTTCAGCAATGCTCTTAGTGATAAGGAAAGCTGCGCCTGTGATTTATATAATTACGATCCCTTAGAGCACCTTTAATTTCAAAGTAAGTGCCGGCGTCAAAATGAAAATGACTCCTAGGAATTAGGGTGGGTAAACCTTTTTAAAAGGAAAATATGTCATTTTTGCGTATTTGTGAAAAAATAAATAAACTAATCATTAAATCGTAACCATCCTGTACAATGATTAGTTAAATATTAATCTATTTACAAAGGCAGACTTGAAAATACAGTATTCATTTTAGGACGGGCACTTTGTTTAATACGGAGATTGCAAAAGCAGATTTTTTTGAAGGAATATATGGTGCCAGAGGGTGATTATTTATTGAAGTTACTTCCTTAAAAATTTTACAATCTTGCCTCTCTAAGAGATCCTTAGTTGAGACAGGGCTTATGACATCCATCTAAAAAGTTCTGTATAATATTAAGATCATGCTTCATAAACGGATAAAATTCAGCAAAACTAAGGAATTGAACAGGTGATCTATTTAAGCTTGTAAATAGTGTCCTTTTCTTAGGGTGCAAAGAACATGTAGACATTTGTTTGCCTTAATTAATTTAAGATTAACATGCGCCCTAAACCTGCAATCACTCTAGATCGTAACCTCCTAAAGAACAAGACTACTGCATTGAGGAATGACAAATACGGGGTTATATTGAGAGCTGTTTTCTTGAATTGCAAGACATGTTGTTCTCTTTAGACCATGTCATGAATTGTTCGGCAAGGTTAGGAGACGGATCACAGTGATTACTTACAGGAGAAACTATTTAAGGGTCGTCAGCGTATTTAAAAATGGCAGGAGCAAAGTTATAAGAAAAGTTTCAAATATATAAAAACGACCCGCTTACGCGTCCTTGTGTGGTTCCCTTGTTAATGGCTTTCCAGTTACAAAGGTGATTATTATAAGGAAATTCGCTGTTGCCTGGCAAACAAGAAGCTATGGTACCAATTGACTCTGGAAAGATTGAGGGGAAGCTTCTAAATTTAGCTGGTAACTTGCTATGATTTACGGAGTCAAACGCTTTAGTAAAATCCATTGTATATAAACGAACTGCCTTACAGTCACTATGGAGTCTAGATATCCATATACGATGTGTTGGATAGATAATACCAATATCATCACTGAAGCACACTTACCAACTCCGCCGTATGGCCATAACTTTACCCATGCACACAACCATATCATCCGGGCAGTGGCAGCCATGGATAGCTGTTTCGCCCTTATTAGGGCCAATCGGTGTGGCATAGCCGTCGAGTCTATGAGCAGGCGCACTCTGGTGAGGGCAAGCTCCCCAGGATCAGTCCTGGCCTCCGGAGGGCTGCTCTGGATTGGTCTAAGTTATCTAAGCGCAAGTCCTGATGTGGTCCCTCTCTCTCTCTCTCATCATGGCTATCGTTTTATTATCTTTAAACGTTTGTGGCCTTCGTGGTGTTGACAAACGGGAGGGGTTGCTGAAGTGGATTTGCTCTCTTCCTTCTCCTCCGGATATTATCTTTAGTGCAGGAGGTCCCCTGAATGTTGGACAACAAGGTCATAGGTTTCAGTCTTCTGGTTATAGGGTAAAGGTTTCGGCTGGCTCTAACCGTTCGTGCGGTTGCGCCGCAACAACTTCTTTCTGTGAAGATAAGGGTCCACCGCTCCTTTTCTTTGGCAGATATGCGTTTCAGTGTCGTGTGTCTTTACGCTCCTAACCGCAATCCGGAAAGGATAGCATTTTTTTCGGATAATGTGTTGGGAGTGGTCAAT